ATATATTTATACATATTTATATTTATATTTATATATACTTATATATCTATATACTTATATATGATCACACAATATTCGACAATAATGTTGCTAATGGAGTACGTGCTCAGAAAAATCATGATGAATAAGAGCTTGCACTTTAACAAAGTTTATCGGATCCGGTGTTCCAGAAAGTCGGAAGCGAGCGGCAAGACAAGCAGCGGGGACGATTGCAGAGTATGCCGGAAGTCGTTCGGTCCCGAGGAAGTCTCGCGAACTTGTTGCGAGTGTCAACATAAGGTCTGCGAGGACTGCGCCTCGTATTCAACGACAACGAATTCTGACGATCCAGTAAGTTTGCGCGCCTTCGTTTCTAATTAACCTGTTTGTTCATTGTTTTCGACCGGTAAATATTGCTGTAAAACGAGACTGGATGGTGTTTGGGCGTAAATTGATTGTTGGATTAAACGAAAAAAAGGGACAATGCAGGGCCGAATCAAACGTGAAAATTTAATTTCAAAATTAAGTTATTATTAATCACAATATTTCATTGCTATTTAATGTCTATTATTTCCATTTATGCGTCATTATACTTATTAACAAGAATAATCAATTTTTATTTTAATGTCATTATTTGTATTTTGAAGAGTACTTCAAATTTTTCGCCACACGATTATATTTTGTGTAATTACGAAACCATGATAAAAGCGCATCTATACTGAACGAATATATACGCGCAAACACACGTGCATTCTTCGTAATTATTATACGCGAATTAGAAAACGAAATGTTGTAAGAACAATAAATACATTGTATACGTGTGATTCGACTTATTAAAGAAGTTCCCATAGAAATGTATTAGAAACGAAAATCCCTCTATTTGCGTATTTATCGAAGCGCGAACGCGAAAGGGAGAGTTAATTGTCAGCCGATAGTGACAAGAAAAGCCGGAGACTCATGGTAATACGGAGTAAATGGAAGTTTCTTAATACTGGGCCTAACTTCACCTCATGTAAATTACGTTCACTTCCGTTGCTTGCTAATTTTCACTCCCGCCGTATCCCCCGTTGGATTTTGTTGTTATTTCAGGGTGTCAGAGTTTGACGCTATTTTCGCGTCCGATGGACCAATCGGAGCGAAGAATCTTGCATTTCAAAGCAAAAATAATGTCAAGTAAAGTAAACTTTCTATTTAACGTTCTGATAGATCAACGTAACAAACGCAGGAAATTACCGTAAAAAATTATTAACAATAACATTCCAATTTTTCGACTATTTAGGATTTTTTTGAAACCGCTGAAAAAATTATAAGCTTCTCTATTATTTATCAATAATTAAATCTACAAATGTTGACAAGAGAGGAAGCAAAAAGAACCTAAAATGAACGGCTAAATTATCCAGGGTGTCTACTCAAATCTTGTAAGAAGATTCCCTGATCTTCCAGGTGTTTTTGTTCAAAATTCCAGATAAAGATAATATTTTAAAGATTTTTTTGGTGCAACTTTCTCAAAATAAAATCTTTTATTGCATGCGTTTTCTAACATTTTTCACTGATACGAAGAAAAAACATAGAGCTTCTTAAATTTCAAGTGCTAGATTTTTGTAAATGTACTGAAAAAAACTAAATGAGTTTTGTAAGATATAATAGCATTTTTTACTTGCATAAATTTTTCACTTTTTTATAAAATTTTTATAACTAAAAATTATAATAAAGAATATGTACTGTTTTGTTAAGATATTGAATATATAAACAGAGGTAGATATATATTTACAATATATTTTAAACACATAATTCAGTTGGTTTGCCGACTGTTTGCAATATGAAAGCAAAATTAACAGAAAGAATTTTTTAAAAAATTCCGAGTCTCAATAAAATTCCATGAGAATTCCCTGATTTTTCCAGGTACAAAAAAAAATCCCTGAGAATTCTAGCTATTCCATGTTTTTCTAGGAAGTAGACACCCTGTTATGGAAAACGAGCGGAAATGTAACGAAAAAGTTTATTTGCGTTTTACACGATTTCATTTAATCGCGCCAAAGATTAATTGAGAAATGCCGCGATTATTTGTCCTTTCTTTCGCTCGCCGAGTGAACGCGCGATGTTGATCGCGCATTAATTCTAATAACGCGCGTAATTGATAAATTTGATAAACGCGCGCGACCGATCGTACGATATTTAATCTTGCGCTTATTATAACATATGGTATGCCATTGCATAACATTCCTGCGGGTAACCCAAATTTGCTAGAATGTTCGCAATCATTCCAAGAGTCTATTCATTCCGTGTCTCTATTCATTCCTAATATGCGATATATCTGCGCTCTCACCTAAATTCGTTGAAAAATATATGTGCGTTATTCTATATATTTTTGATAAAACGGAACGTTGCGCTATAGAATTGCGAGAAAAGTCATCGCATGTGAATATGATGGAAATGTGTGCACTTTAATAAGTTTCAAGATTTGCATTCGTTCTCTCCATTCTCTATTTTTCATGCTCCGAGCACGCGGAAAAAGAGAATAACTTTGCTTTTATGAACCGTGCATGAATTTCACTATTATAAATATGTATTATATAAAAAGCAGGTCGTATGAAATCTGATTATGCAAACATTGCAGTTTACCTAGTATTTGAAGAGAAAAAAGATAGCAACATCTACAATAAAAAATTTAAATTAGTTTTCATAATTCTCCTATTTTTTTGCATTCATAATATATTGTTGTTTGTCAAAGTAAAAATAATACAAACTAAGTTTAGATAAAGAAAATGTCTATATGTGTGTGTGTGTATGGGGGGAGGGAGGGGGGGTACGTGTCCTCTCTTTCTAGATTTCCAACAAAATATTTTTTGGAAACTGCGAGTATATAAAAATTGTTTTCGTTATAATATCGATTAATCCAAATCAAATATTTGTGTTTTAAATCGCCTATTGTGCTTTTCACATTCTTGCTTTAATTTCATAAAGTTACATCATTAATTTGGCTCGTAATTTAAGAAAAATGTTATTAAATCCGTCTGCATATATGTGTGTGTGTTTTAAATTTATATTGACAAATAACAAAATCAACTGATTCGACAGCTCCAAAGAGAAAAGAATAATTTCATGTTAGTATTAAACGCAAGCTTTTCGCCAGTAATAAATATCTATATGCATTGATGAGTAAGAAATTGCCTTTTCGGAAAATGTTATAGTCTTCCTGGCGATGTAGTGTTTGCCGCCGAAAGATCGCCTCGAGGGACCAGCCGATAGTGACACAGGAATCCACGGATTCGTTGCTGGATGTGCCGATTCTGGAAGCTCTTCAAAGGAGGCATAGCGATGCCCGACTTGGACCCACCGGAAGTCAAATTGGCGCACTCGGAACAGGATTGGCTCCGCCGCGGAGCCCGGAAATTCGAAGGCATTCCGACGTTTCGCCGGCCAGTCTCAAGGAACTGGAGAAGGTAAGCGAAAACTTAATTCGCGATGAAATCTATGCTTTCCTAATTTGAATGATTAAACGAGAGTTGGATAACGCAAATAGCATAATTATCTCAGAATAACCCTGATCTTTTTGATTGCTTTATCTAATAACACGAGAGTAAATGCATAATTGCTCTGATGACCCACAGTTTCGATGACATATTTATGAGATAATATATATAAAAAACGTGTTAATAAATGAAATCCCGGCGATGGGACGATCACATTTCGTACTTTAATAATCAACATTTAATTATTTTTTTAACTTACAAAATTTTAATATTTTTAATCTAGATGCGATTTTTTTCTCATTTAAAAAAAATAATATATTTAACACGACTTTATCTTTTTGCAATAAAGAGTTGAGAATATTTTCAAAATTGAGAGGAAAGCCACGCTTTACGTGCGCACCGTGTCGTTTGACTGGCTTTCTGTGTTATTCACGATTTACCATCGCACGAGATTCCCTTTCCCAACGAGATGCATAATTCAGCATCCCTATATACGCGAAAACGTCCGTGTAATCATGATTGAAATTAGAGAGTTGCTAAAATACCGCTGCGAAACGAGTCACTGTATAACATGCTTTGAGTGTCCGCTTAAACGCTTTATAAACCACACTTTGCTATTATTTCAAATACATACTTTATGCTACTCATTGAGATTCCTGCAAGCCACTGCAAACAAAGCCACATGCAAGTATAGGTCGCCCTGCACACAAGAAATATCTCGAATTATTTTATTCAGATTGTGACGTCGATCGCTTGATTTCTATAGAATGTGACTATTTCAGTTTTGCTCTTCTTCGGATTTTCAAAACATCATTGATTACGCAATAGTTCAAATTTCATTATACAATATTTCAATCCCGACAATATTATTTTGAATAAATATATTGTGTGAAAAATCGTAATTTATTTCAATCATATTCTGTATTAACTTCTAATTAAGACGCAATATTTACTTTTTAAAATATTTAAAATAATTTTAATAAACATATATTTTAAAAATTAAATATTTTAAAGTGTATATATTTAATCAAATAATTGTATTAAAACTTGTAAGAATATATTTCTATAATGTGGAATATAAAGTCGCTCTCGATAAAATTACATAACGAACGCAAAACTAACGGATTCATTTTTATCATGTCTTTTATACCAAGATAATATATGGTAATTTTTGCGAAAATCATAAGTTATTTGGATGATCAAATCGATTATTGTTCTCGTCACGTGCGACTTTAACTGATGTCGGACTCGACGCGGAGTTCGACTACTCTCGACGAGATCTCATTGCACGCAGATCCCGCAGTGCACTTGTCTCGCAAACTGAGTGCCCGCAAACACACACGCGTCGGGAACGAATGCACGTGTGTGCAGCTAGACTTCTCATGACCCGATACTCAGACAGACAATTATCGGGCATGTAATTACCGCGTGGTGATCGTAAATCCGAATTACGTAAAAGTCGGATGGAAATGCATCGTAATAAAAATCGTATATGCGTTTTATTTTCTTAAAATACAGCCTAAAGAGCCATTATCATACTTTTAAATTCGTGTAGTAAAAAAGTAATCGCGATTATATAAATATAGTCGTAGAAAATAGCAACATTTTTTTTTTTTGTAAGGGATAAACATAAGGTAACGCTGCCAATTTTTACATTTTGCTTAAGGAAATTTGTTATACGTTACGTGTTTTCTGTATACCGCGTTCTGCAAATTGCTTGATGTTTGTAAATGCTTGACATTTACGTAAGTTGCTATCCTTGAATTTATCGAAGCTTCGGTTATTGACTGTCATATAGCTCTAAGGCTGATGTGAAACTTACGTTGTTGCGAGTCGACAACTTTGTATGGTACCGGTAAAATTTATCGACAACCGGTTTTATCACTTGACAGAATAATCGGATCCGTGCTTGCGCGAACGGAAACGAAAGAAAATTGAGTAAAATTGAAATGAGGGCGTGCTTCTGCACATTGGCAGGAATAAGATCATAAAAACGACGAGGTTGAAAAATTTTACGAGGTTGTATATCACAGATAAAACTGCTCATTACGCGGAAAAATTAAAAGCTTGTAACTGTTATAAAAGATCGCACTTCTTGCACGCCGCGTTTACATTAAAATTCATGTTTCTATTTTTGCATATTTTGGCTTTCATTTTTTGTTTAATAAATTCGTCCATTGTAATATACAATATTTTTGAAATTCAACAGAGGTCCAATGTGGCGTGTTTTTTTGTTAAATGGTTGTTATATTTTCAAAATAATTCTTTTTGGACAATGAAATTAAATTGAAATATTTTTATTAATAACATTGTTCGACACCAAAATTGCCCTTAAGTTCTATCAAGTCATTTCGAGTAGATTTTTTAGCGCTGATTACGAATCTGGCTGTAAAAATGGCGTATCACGTCAAGTTTTCGAGAAAACCTTAGTCAAAGTTGCTAAAATGGGCGTTTCTAATACTTTTGTGTAAATTATATCTTTCGATGGGGATGCGCTCATAAGAAACATCTATTGCATCGTCTTTCCAATAGTTTGTTACTAAAATTTAAAAAAATCATTCTAATGTATGTATACATTTATCTTATCACTCATCACGAATCATATGTTAAAATTTCAAAATTAGAAATGGAGGATCCAAAGTGACGGACCCAAATTTTTGAAAAACTATTCAAATCATGGAAATGAGTATGTTTTAAGTGTAGGTTTTTGTGATAGCTATCACTTAAGAACAAAATTAGAGTAGTTTTTGGCACTAGTATTTTAGTAACGGACAATTGGAGACGAATGATTGGGGGACACTGCGATAAATGATGTTTTTTATGTTTTGACTACTTTTTTTCAGGAAAACCCTTTTCTGCCTGGGACTTTTAGCATTTTTATCATAAAATATAAGTTTTGAGCTTTATTTTGAGCTGTCACTGCTTTCTGGAGCATGTCCCTATCGAAAGATATAACTCACGCAAAAGTATCAAAAATGCCTATTTTAGCAACTTTGACTGAAGTTCTCTAAAAAATTTGACACAATACATTTTGGCCATTTTTATGGCCAGATTCGTAATCAAGGCTAAAAAATCTACCAGAAATGACTTGCTAACACTTAAAGCAAAAAAAGATCTCATTTTGTCTCGATCAGTATAATCAATCTGTATTATCTCGTTACATCCCATTCACTCGAGATGTGTCAATCAGGTTATTAAATTTTTTTATACAATACCTATGAATTAACATCTAATTCCTTTCGATGACCAACATGAAGTATTTCCAGCGTGTTGCATTCGCAATTCAATTTCATTCGCGTGTCAAATTCGACGTTCGATGCAAAAGACACGAGGTGGCGGATTCGGGATCGTAACTCCGCTTTGTCAGGAATGTGCTGACGTAATGAAATATGTCCTATGAGTATTCACGCACGCGTAGGCGTATGCAAAGCCGAGAGGTGATGTCTCGTATTTACGATGGGACGAACGCTAATATTGGAGTTTATTGCTCGCTTTCGCACGCACGTCATTCTCCCGCGATACGTCTCGTTTACTGAGGAACGATGCGATGCGTTTATCTTCCTTGCGATAATTGCCGTTGACGCTTTTTCCATCTAGAGATTCAATCCACTTCGATGCCATTCGCACGTCACGGTTGCCGGTTTTCTCGCGAGCTACAGCGGCCGCATGATGGATGAAATGTAATCGCGACGTTAAGGGATGACGCAAAAATAATTACCAGAACTACAAAGAAATGCCAAAATTATTATGTGACTAAAATCCGGTTCCACAGATTAATCTGATTACCGCATAAATTATAAATGTCATTTATATGTTTGTATTTATAATTTCTATATATTCTATATATGCAGTGTTTTGCATAGATAATATTGAAATCATCTAAATAAAAATAAGATAAGACATATAAAATTTTATCTTAGATAAGATGAAGATGATTTATTTCAAGTTTATCTAGATAATAGATGAAAATATAAAGCATTTTATCTAGATGATATTAAGATAACATTGCTTAAAAAAAAATAATTAAAGAAAAACTATAACAATTGAAATAATATATATTTACATATAGACTTTTTTATTAAATACTTTTCCATCATTCTTCCGCTATGGTATTATTAATAGAGAAATCGCACAAAACTGCAAAAATCACATTCGGCAGTGAAAATAATAGAAAATACCACACGCGCACAAGACAGTATGACGCAACACATTTTAGATCTATTCTTTACAGTTTCACACTGAGTATAGTGCTTAGTGATTCTTTAATATGATTGGATCTTATCTTTGGTTCTCTGTTGGATCTAAATGTAAGAACCAATCATATTAAAGAATCATAAAGTGGTTACTAAGGGCTGAGTTCTGCTGAATGCAGCCATTGTCTAAGATAATTTAAGATAGATGGCGCATTTTTCCATCTAAGATAAAGATGTAGATAATACATCCTATTAATATCTAGATAAAGATGAGATAATGCAGTTGCTTCATTTAAATGATTATCTAGATAACTTCACTATATACACGGTATATCTATTAATATTCGATTGAAAAAAGACGTTGTATTCTTTTATGTTATTTTATCTTAAATTTATACGTTATTACTATTTAATTAATTCTTCAAAAAAGTTCTTTACATAAATGCTAATGCGACTCGGAGATCAAATTTTTCTTTGTTCATTAATTCCGACCTAGTTGCTGTAAGATTTTTCAATGTTCAACAATTATAAACGCAAATGCGCATAAACAAAAATGCTTAAAATTGCATTTGGCATTTGCGTTTACGCCTCCGAGATGTCCTACATAACGGTACTAGTTTTCTGAGCTGCCTACATGTGCTTAGGCATATTTGTTAGCCTACGCCTATTGGATAATTTACCACTGACTGAGCATCCAAAGTGATGCATAGTATCCGATGCATCTCCGGCGTCGCGCACGTCTCACGCTCCGAAAGTCGCCGATATATGTACGTACATATGTGGCATGCATGTTACATCGCATCGTATACGGCGACCCAGTTTAGACATTGTCGAATGCGCCCGTGCAGTTACGAGGTACGGTTGCAACGTGGTTTCACTCGAGGTAAGATTATCGCGAGGTGCGGGAGAGGAGCTAGTATCTTTTCGTCGTGTTAAAATGATATTTCCCCGTCGCACGCTCGCGCATTGCATCAATGGATTATATTTATGCGCGCGACAGATGCTTGTAAGAGCGGGATCGAGCCAGTGACAAATCTACCCGGTGGGTAGTAAATAAGCAACACCATGACTAGTCATGTGCGAGAAAGATGTGCCCCGACCACCATGGCTCCTCCTACGGATTCCGAGCTTAATGGACCTCTTAATGCTTAAACGCATTCTCGTCTCGTCCTTCTCGCTTTAATTGCTGCCGACTTGTAATTATGCCGCGCGACAGGATCGCGTGACGAAACCCGGATGAAGTTAATTTTCGGACGTGGCTATTTCATTAATATTGTGGGCTCTCTCGGCTACGATGTTTCCTCCGCGGTCTTCCTCCTCTTGTTACCCGCAAGCGTTGTGAGGGGGGGGGGGGGGAGACGCTATTAATTTTCATTGCTAAAGAGAGCAGTTCACCGGCTTCGGTATTGTCGGGCGAAAAGTCTTTGTTGCAGTTTGCAGACGGCACAAGGTTTATTTCAGCCCCGTAGAATCGACCCACGTCACATTAAAGTATGTGATACAATAACTCGTTTCATTTATAGAAATAATCTGTCGTCACAAATGATACACATTTTTAAAGACAAGTAGAAACTTGCGCATCGAGTAATTTCATGTTTAATTTTATCGTTCAGCATTTTTTCAATCTTCTCGGATATGGCATATCGATAACATTGATAAAACGAGTCTTGATTTAATTTCAAATAAAGTAGAGATAGATTGATTTATAGATAGAGCAGAATGAACTTTCCAGCTTTCGTAGTATTTAGTAACTCGTTGCGTATCGACTTTTTAGAGATTCTCATTTAATAGCTTTATTCGAACAAATCGATTCTGTCAAATACAGTCACGAAGCTTCATTCAATCATCTGAACAATCATAAAATTCCAGAGCTAATCTTTGTGCATTGATATAACCCATCAGCTTTTAGGTGTCGAACTATGCTACCTAATCTTGTATTTGCATCTCTCGCCCGCCTTCCCTTGCCGTGTTGTTGGAGATGCTGTGACTTTCTCCCTGCCCTACGTGTGGTGACGTTTCCCGCATCGAGCCCTAATCTCTGGTGTCGTAATGTTGTAGTTTCGAAAGGTTGCAGGGGAGCGCCAGAGAGAGGAGCTCAGATGGGAGCGCGACCTGGACCGGAAAAGCAAGTCAAGGGGTGGCTCACCGGATCGCCATCAGGCCTCCGACAGAGGGAGAGCGACCAGCCCTCAGAGGGTCGTCATGCCGGCTCAGACGAGCGGTAAGGATCGTTTTATTAGTTTGTATAAGATATCTATTGTTTCTCCGCATATCGCAACATAGATGTCACGTTTCGCATAATGATCGGATACTGACGATATAATCAAGAAAAAATATCAGTAAAGAGAACGTAATTTTGCTTTCTTAAAATGGAGAAAAATAAATCTGTATTTAATGTAATAATAAATACTAATATAATAATAAACATATAATCTCAAATCTTTGATTTGCTTTTTTTTAGTTTGACAATTTTGACAGATCGACAGTTTGACATATTGTTTTTACGGATATGACTTCAAAATTGAATCTTTAGTTGGTTTTTGTGATTTCCAGCATGTATAAAGAAGTAAATTAACACAAACTAATTTGAAATTTGTAGTGATAGCCGGAGTTATAAAATATTTTTTAATAGATAATAAAAAATCAATTGAATCAATTGCAATCAATTGAAAGATATGATTCAAAGTTGAAATAAATTTTTGAATTTTTCGTTCCAACTGCTTGGGTAACATTTATTTAATTTTATTGATAAAGCGATCGAGCAGGAAGGCGGCGATCTGGACGACGAGGAGGAGCGTCGGCGACGCGCTCGTCGCGGAGGAGGTACGATTCGTCGTAAATCTCGGGTGACCAGGCAGAGATCCTACGACGATGAAATTAAGACGGCGGCCGCGATGGCCGGCGGTGGTGTGCAGCCGACACATCCCGACACCGGCCTAGGACTTCCGGTCCAGCTGCCGAGACGAGCGTCTGCCTACGACGTTTACGCCGCGCCCGGAAGTAGCGGTCTCAACGCGATGGCCATCGCGGCCGCCCAGCAAAGAGCCTCCATCTCGGCGCAAGGTGCGGTAATTAATAAATATTTATTGTCATAGATAAGAAAATTATTCTCTCTAGCCGATTCGCTCGTAACTTTAATTTAACTGATAACGTATAATTCTCTTAGTTTCTGCTCAATTATATTTAAATAATTATGCGTGATATATTCCAGCAAAAAATACGAAAAAGATTAAAATAAAATAAATTAAAAAATTAAAAACAATAAAATAAAATATAAAAAATTATTGTCATATTTCTTGATAAAATAGTGTCTTTATACAAAATATATATATCGTGCACAGTAAACGTGTAAATTTATCTATAATGTAATATGATAATTCGGTTTCAGTATTTCCTATTATAAGAAAAAAAAGATACCGTATTTAATATTCATCTGTGTGTGAAATACAGTGCGCGTGCTGAAATTAATATTTTCCCGTTTATCGTATATTTTAACTTTATGCTTGCAATATCGCATAACTCATCAGAAGAGAGCTATAATATTTCGTATAATGATAGTTTGTATAACTGATGCATCCAAAGTTACTTTGAGACGACGGATAGTGTTTATCAATAGCCGTTTGCTGTCGATACCGCGTATGCGTACGCATAATTTCTCTCGCTAAAACGTTATCTTCTCTGACCTCTCGGATTATCTCCGAGGGAAACTTTGGCAATCGGCTCTTCGATCCTCGACGAAGATGCCGAAATTTCCAACTTTCCCTCCGCTCCCTTTGGGAAGTAGCACAACAATACGTGCTCCGATTTCTCGCCATATTGCACATTTACGAGTTATCGCAACGGTATTCTCGGCAATTTGGAAGTGATTGCGCTGTAAGAGACCTTAAAAGCGGCAAAGACCATTGAAAAGGATAATCGAATACAGTAGCAGCGGCGATAGTTCGCTTGTATTGTTCTTTCTGTGTCCGTAGCTTCCTCTGTTTCGCTGTAGATATAATTCCCTCCATTACGCGGATGCGTTTTATCTAGCGTTTTCAAAGCGTCAAACAACTTTCAAAGAAATGAATAAACCGATTTTCGCTAAGCATATTTCAAATATAGCGATGTGTGTGTGCGTGTGCGTGTGCGTATGCGTGCGTGTGCGTGTGTGTGTGTGTGTGTGTGTGTGTGTGTGTGTGTGGTTTCGATCTTTTCAATATATAACACATACAACGATAGAATTTCTCATTTGTAGTGGTTTCAAGCCACGACTTCCAATTAACTATGCGATCGTATCTCTCTGGGAGAATTCATAATATAAACGTTTCTAAAATGGTATATGTATATGTCGTTACGTAATTTTGAGGTAAAGTTCCTTTATAAAAATTTCACGTTATCAAATTATTGGTAACTGTGTAATAGTGTCGGTAGTTGTCGAGAGTAATGTTAAAATTTTCCGTAGGAAACAGCTTTAAATAGCGACTGCGCAAAACTAGTTTCAGGATACTTATTTTCATGCATTCAATTCAGTCGTGTCTGTTGAACGTGTACATCACGGATCCTGAGATGACTGTGTAACTTTAATACTGCGCGTGCATATTGCCAGACTGTGTGATCGGAAGCGCCAACCAACTCGACATGGAAATTCACCTTTCTCTTCCTCCCTCCCTCTCTTTCTCTCTTTGTCTTCCTCGTTTTCCGCGTTAAAAGGTCATGCACACAGAATCAAACTCAACTTGCAGTGAACTTTCTGCGAAAACTATTTCCAATGCGTCACGAAGTAGCATACGATCGTAACGTGATTTTAAAGCCATCTATAGTCATGCACGTACTCGTCGATCGATCTTCGAATATTTTTCAAATCTACCGAACCCGATGTTTTATAGTTTCAATTCGCGATACTTAGCGCGACGTGACGAGATTTTCAACGCGCCTGCAGTCAAGTGCACAAGTCAATATTAAATAAAAAAATGAAACAAACCTTGACCAGTAAACAAGTTCTGCATGTCGATCGGAAAACCACGTGAGAAATTTTCTTTCCTTCTTCTCAGAAACTCGGTGGTCGTACAAGGAAATATATTGTCGCGACAATTTGAAAGCGCAGGATGCTGTGCAGCAGTACAGAGTGTCCTGAAAATAAAACAATCTTTTTTCAGCTCTTTGAATGAAGATTTGATCTTTGCTCAAATTTGATTAAATACTTGTTATAATTTTTCAAAAATATTTGATAATCCATATTAAAGTTTCTTACAGGTTTAAAATAAAATAAAAAATAAAATTTTAAAAGAAGAAATGAAGAGAATAAGATTTGATTTATCTGCTCTACCAATCGAAATATCATTTCATTGTTTAGTTTAAAAATTGTTTAGTTTCCATTTCTCTT